GGCAGTCTCACAACCACAACTTCTTCTGGTTGGTAGCAATTTATTGCCAATAATCATCTGTCAAAATAAAAACAATCGTTATTGGTTTGATCGGTACTATTGATTTTGTTTGTGTTTTATTTTTTAATGGGGATATCTCTAGGTTCACTCTATTGATAGAGCAACTCAAATCAAGTGGTTGGACTTGGAACTCACCAAATGGTAATAAAAATGTGATATTTAAATCCCTAAAGTAGAGATGCGCTTGTGAATATATCCGACACCTAAGACTACCCTTTTTAATTGCGAAATATTACGGTAATCTATCAAAAAACCATCTGCTATTTTGCTGTCAAAACCTAGTAATTTAAAGCGTGTTGAAGCAGTAGCTGTTATAATATCATCTACTGAAAGGAAAGCAAAAAATATTGTGGTTATTATTTTAACCTATGATTATTATACAAGTAATCTAACGTAACATGAATTAGGTACACGAGCTTGAATGTCAATAAATAAGTAATTGGTAAAACTTCAAGCTATAGACGGCAAATGGGTTGTAAAATGAACTCTTATAAAGCCTAGAGTGGCACTTGGTTCAGTTTCTTCTACCCTTAGTGATATTTACAGCTATGAGCTGTTACGGAAACAATGTAGGACCTAAAACCACATTCTGAACCCCTAAAACGCTACTGTACAGCTAAAAGTTGCAAAATAGGCTGCTATTTCATATTGGACAGTCATTGGACAAAATGCACTCCTTGAACGTCCTTATTATGAATATTACTTTAAATGCAAATTGCAACTTATCACCTTTTTATCTCCATCAGTCGCAGTATCTTAATTGTTAATAGAAATGCTATTTTTAATTCAATAAGCATCTGTCCAATGACTCAACGAAATGCCCCTAAGCCTAGGCGCAGACAACCGACTTTAAGTTGGCCGATAGTTGGGTCAGGCTGTTAATCACTATCAGTATGTATGAAAGTGCGAACATTACACCGTTTGGTATCGGCCGATTCTTCTTACAAATTAAAATTGGGTCCAACTATCGGCCAACTAAAAGTCGGTGGTCTACGCCTAGGCTAAGTGTCCAATGACTGGAATTTTACCTATTTAACTCAAACAAGTAATAGGTATATTTTCTGAAAATAGACTTTTCAAAATATTTTAGACATGTATCATCCATCACCAAAAATGACACGTCCATGACTCTACAAATGCTGAACTAACTTACGCTCCCAGCGAGAATCGAACCCGCACTCAGACCGTTTCTAACCTTCCTTAAGTTTAGGCCGGTCTGCTTTTTAAATTAGGCCTGCTATCTGGTGACATCTGACCACGGGACTGAACGCATTGTATGCAGATGCGCTTGCGCACATTTGCATCAACTTTCGGACGGGGATTTGCAAATACCCTCCACCTAATTATACATAAGAACACGTGTGCACGCCCAGGTATTAGGCTGATAATCCATTCATGGAGATCTATGGTTAAGTTAAAATGTAGAGATTAATAATGGCATGAAATAATGCTCTGTAACCCGCGATAAATGTGTGGTACTAAAACTCATTTATTTTTGCAAATAGGCTTTAAAAAGCACTTTTACACGTCCCAGTATTAACCCTATCACTGCTTCGGGACAATAAATGGGCCAGTGCTGAGAAGAAGCAGCGCAAAAAACTCACGTCACTATTGTCAGTTTTTGGACAAACAAACTATCAGTGTCATATCTCTCATATTTAACTCTGCAATAAAAAATAGGTTTAATGAAATTACTAGAGATAATGAAATTTTGTTGTTTGTAAGATTGCCAGTCTCTACATTGACGAATTTATACAGCTCTTACGCCCGTATTCACAAACATTATTATGAGGTCTCACAGTGCGCGTGGACGCACAGGGTGACACACGAACCAATCACAGAGCTTTATTCAACGCTGTGCGTTCGATTTGCCGCTTCACTTAAGCAAGCATCGTTTGTGAATACGGGCGTAAAGCTCTAACGCCTTGTTGATGCAGTTGTTGTTCACCCAGAAGTGAATTTTTGGCACTTCTTAGAGGGAGCTTTTATACAGCAGTAGACTGCAACTACCTACTAGACTAGAATTACAGGTGTGATACGAAATGTAGCCGATATACGCTGATTATGATAATGAATTTAACCATAAAATTCGATTCAATATTGGAGGTAGAGACGTGGCTTGCAAAATAATAGTTATAGTAGCTTAATGTCGCAAGTAACTTAATAAGTACTTATCTGCTTTAACACTCACATTTAAAGCAAATAAGCGATAAAATATGAAGCATATAAAGTTAAAAGATCATATTTCCGAGAAATCTCGCGATATAACCGCAGTTATCTGCCTTCATTTTCAATAATAGAAACAATAGCCTCCTACGAGCATTGTTCAGCCACAATAGCGCGGCTTATTACGCAAACGCTCGTTAACGTCTTGAACGACCCGACACTAACTTTATCAACCCACGTCAGTATCTACCGATCTCAGAGTCGGCCCCGCACAATCGCCAAAAAACAAAAAACAACACCCAGATGAATATCTGCGCGCCAAAAAGTTAAACCGAATGATATGACGTTTCCCGCGTTCCTTTTTGAAATGCCCGCGAATTGTCAACCATAGACAACGGCCCATTTGAATACGGACGATTTGAATATAAAGGTCGGCGATTGTCGTCGCCATATATCAACCGGAGGCTTTAAGTCTCGCGAACGCTTTTTGGACACAAATAAGCGTCTGGAGGGTTTGATGTTCGACAGGAGACGCATAATATGGTTCGATTTAGACTCGACAGGCCTTACAGACGCGGACGTTCGCAATAGTTCGCTGAAATACGTGAACGGGCGCGAATGTCCAACCGTTATGTAAATGACTATTTTAAGTGCCGCATTAAAATAATCATTTAAAATATTTATAGCGTGTAAACGCCGATAGTAAGGCGGTAGACACCCACGACAGAGCGCTCGTATCGTCGGACGCCATATTTCATTTGGCCACAATTACAACCATTAAACGGGGCGCAACTCTTTGATATTCCCTTTTTATTTATTGTAGCAAACTTATTAGGATACTGTGGCATTAATGATGACAGATGAGGCCGGGTATCGCGGCTTAATGCGTTTTATGTCGGTCCCGGATCAGTGTAGTTGTTCGAAAAAAACGAATTACGTAAATTATTTAGTATCGGAACATAATCAGGGAATAGCCTGTCGATAAAGACGGCCCTAAAATAAAATACAGTTTATGTGATGTTACTATTTATAGTGTGAAGTTGAAGATAAACAATGTAATTTAGAAGATTTTAAGACGTTAGACGCGATTCGAATTGGTTTAATAACCGATAACTATTACATAAATGAGTTTTATAGAGTATTTAATGATCCTTCGTAAAGACCAATAAAATCAGTCACAGAGATATTTTTGATTATGCCCAATTCATTATTAATAACCTATGTTTTTCAAACTCTTCTTGACACAATTTCGTCTATCTCAGTATTTATATGTTATTAGTTTCAATTAAATAAGCCGCTATGTCATTTGTGATACAAAGTGCGGTTAAAAATGTCGCAGATAACACTATCTAAGGTTCAGAGGCCGCTAATTGAAAAAAAAAAGGATTTATGTTCGCTTCCTACACTGCTATCTTAATGCTCATTGAAAACATGCAACTATTCTTTTTGTTAACACCAGACAAATGTCTCGCATTAAACGTCCAAATTTAATTATCAACTCATTTATTTTGGAACGCTGACCCCACATTTACTGGGAATCTTAAAAAAGACGATTTATTCACTTCTTTTTCTCAACACGACAAAGTGAGCCCCGTATGTTTTGGTTTCGAAAGAGTCATAGACAAATTAGCACAGATCGAATCTATTTCGAATTTGAATAGCGAACGCGGCGAACGGAAACACGTTGTTTTTACCGCGTTTTAATTAAATTTGAATTCGGAATGTCGTGTGGCGCGCGCCCCCCGCCGCGGTTACAAATGGCTCCGATACATCACCCCGATGATATCTCTTTCAATTTTTGAAAGCAACTCGGTCGGCTTGGGCACCGAATTAATAAATGGTGGACGTAGAATAAAATTAACCCCACAAGGTGAACAAGGTGAAGTATTAGAATACGATACGAGAGAGTTGAATTACTCAATGACATCAATTGACATCTTTTGGAAAAAAGCTTTTCAGTTTTCTTAAAATGACGACGTAGACAAACCGTTTGTTAGGTAGTTACTTACTAAATTGTGTTTATTTTTCAGTTGTGTGTGTTCTTCCTAAAAATCGAACCCAGACCCTCCGGGTCAAGAAAGACTGTCTCTAGCTACTGGTCCACGGAGGTGAAGTTTGTAGTAGGTCTAGCTAGTGGTAAGACCACCTGCTTCAGACGCAGAGGTCCTGGGTTTGATTCCCAGTGGGGGCAGATTTTCCTGTTCAGTTTGGTTGGTGGTAGGGCTTGTTCTAAGTCCACCTGGTTAGCTTCCACCATCTTATCTAAGTCTGTCGCCATAACAACTAATCTTAACAGCATTGTTGTGTTCCGGCAATTAGAGGTAAGATAGCTAGTTCCTCCGTGTTTGAGGATTCCGGGTGAAGCTCGCTTCCACCTTGAGCCTGATAATCACTTACCATCAGGTGAGATACAGGCCAAGAACTTCCTCGTTGTGGATAAAAAAGGCACTTACCTAATGTTGAAATAAATTCGAACTTGGTATGCACCATTATTGTCAGTAGAGTTTTCTGGTCCAACTGGGTTAGACAAATACGAGTTAATGTTGTTTTAGTTTTTTATTCATAGATTTGCCTAATTACCTAGTAAAAAAAATATACAGTATTCAATCTGACTTAAAAATTGTTTACATTATACTGGAATTTTCCGTCACACCTACTTATTATTTGTGTTTTCAATTACATCAGTTCAATATAAAACCAATTAGGTAACTTGACTAAATATTTGAATCATTTAATAGATAAGGTAATAGATTCTTAATGTTTTACTCCAAATATTTAAGGCTTGCTTGTTTTTTTCCTGCCCACTGCAGACAAGATGGCGAACAGAAAACTTTGTGCGCTCGCGGTGTTGTTAGGGCTGGTATCGTTAGTTTATGGTGAGCAATTTACTTGTTATAAATATTTAAAACCCATTAAAAATCTTAACTTTCTCTACTTTTAATGTTAATTTTAACACCTGCACTTGTCACGACTGTTGTCGTGCTGATCATCCGATAACCTGAATGCTATCAACAGGCCGTACCTATTATCACCTTTTGGCATTTAACAACTTCGGATAGTTTTAAAACTCTACATCTACAGTTATTGTTTATCCCTTAAAATAAATCTCACCCGAATCAAATCCTTTGCATAATATCTTGAAACTATTTTTATACTTACAGTAACAATGCATTTACAGGAATCATGAGCGATTGTGAACTACCGAAAGATAAAGGGTCATGTGATGGGCGGTATCGGAGGTAATTAAAAATAATACAGCTTGCTTTATTTCTTCCTTAAATAACATTCTTAAATATACAACACCTAGAAACAGTACAGTTTAAGCTAAGTAGTCCATAACAAAAATGACTTTAATCGTAGTGACGCCTGATAGTATGCATTAGCAAAGTTTCTTAGTTTCTTTGTTCATTTTGTTGCGGTAATTGCTGCTATAGGCGTTCACGCCGGATTAATACTGTTATACGTGTGAACCGAAAACGAATTAATCTGGATGTAACACTTTATTACTGGACTATCTGCATTATATTAACTAATAAATAATTATAAATCTAATTCCAGCTACTATTTCGACATGAATAGCCGGGAATGCAGGCGATTCATTTGGTCAGGCTGCGGAGGCAACGGCAACAAATTCTTCACCCTGGATGAGTGCCAGTTCGCTTGCCACTACTACATGCGCCTCAAACCGTAACTGCCAACACAACGAGCTTGCTAAGCACTATTAGCCTGTTGCTATTTTGTCATTGTTTTAGATGATTCTCGGACAGACGTATTGACATTATTGATTTCATAAGTAAAGTATCTTTTGATTATGTGCATTTTCATTATAAAATAGCTCTGACTCCTTTACTCGCCTAATATCCTAATAATAAAATCATTAAAGTTTCCCAGCAAAAGACTATGATAATTTACGAATAGGTATAAGAAATAATATTACACTCATTAAACCATAACATTTCGTGAAACTACAAACCAAGAAAGTATTAGTAATGACTATTAATAAAGGGACTATTGAGAACCCTACATAACCCTAACAATGCCAACAATCGGAAATTCGACCAAAAACTATACAATATATAAAGCAATAATACAAATTAAATAAATTTTAGAATTACTATTTAAATAAAGACATCTCATAAAGTTTTGAAAGTGAATCGAATACTAAGTAAACATATTCGATTAACAAAAATTAAACTCTGAACGCACCTATAAAAATCCGATTACAGTGATTTTGGTGGACCGTAGCTATATTTGACATTGACAGTCGTTTGACATTTCCATTCTGTCAATGTCACAGACAGCTGATTCGGTCGTGCTCTGGCTCGTCTGACGAAGCCAAATTAATTCGAATCCCCACCACGTAAAACCAGCTTTCACCATGGTATCCGCTTTGTATCATCATTATTTCTCCGTGCGATGCGGCCTCGGCAGGTCTAGAACTAATATAACTGTACTTTCGATAGGGAACGGCGATGTTTGCTCGAGTGACTTTTTACCCCACGTTATTCTACAATGTGATGATGGAGAAGATCACCAGCCGGCGTTGGTATGACAGGATAGATGACACAGTCATCCTCGGCGCGCTGCCTTTCCAGGGAATGACCAATAAGGTGATGATTTTAGGTTATTTACTTATCCTTAAGTTGGGCCAACTGGACTAGTTTAGTGAACTTTCACGAAATTTTCGTCAATGAAATGTTGTGCCCTTAATAATTTTGACCAATAAAACTATGTTTCACTCATGTTATAACTTTATTAGATCAGATACTTCATTCAAACTTCAATGTTGAGACAAGAAATTAACAACAATGGGTCAGAGGGTATATGACATTATTTTCTTCAAAGCTTTTACAATTAAAATTAATTTCATGTTATATTATTAAGCTGAAATTTAAAAACAGAATGCCATTATTGGATTTATTTTTAAGGTCATTCTTTCTTGTAAGTAATATTTCAGCACAACAAATAATTTATTTAATCTTTCTCTCTACCAGTTAAAAGAAGAGGAAAACTTAAAAGGAGTTGTGTCTATGAATGAGTCCTATGAACTGAAGATATTCTCCAATGATGCACAGGTGAGTGCAATTTCAATAATTAGAAATTAAAACTCATGTTCAGTTTATGTAGCCCTTCAAGTAATAGGGAATCGCGACACAACAGAAATCAATTGTTACTGCAGTCTCATGCGACTGTTTGGGAAGTTCAACTACTGAAATCAATTCTCCCATGAAAAGTCAAGATAATTCATATTAAAAATGTTACAAATTGTTTAAAAAATAGCAGTAGTTAAAAATCCTCTAAAAGTCTAAAGCTTTTACAGCTAAAGTGTAAGTAGATGATGCAGCACCAATATCTTGTTTTCTTATATTAGACTAGCGGCCGCCCGCGACTTCGTACGCGTGGATCCCGTTTTACCCCCTTCATCTATCTTACGCGGTTTAGATTTTTTCATACAAATGTTTTTTCCCGCTAACTCCCGTTCCCGTGGGAATTTTGCAATATCCTGTTGTAACTAAGCTTTTTAAGTTTACTAACGTACCTGCATGCCTTTCAAGCGTCTAACTTAAGCGGTTTAGATTTTTCATACAAAATGTTTTTCCCACTAATGCCCGTTCCCGTGGGAATTTTGGGAATTCCTTGTTGTAACTAAGCTTTAAGTTTATTAAGGTACCTACATGCCAAATTTCAAGCGTCTAACTTAAGCGGTTTAGATTTTTCATAGAAAAGGATTTTCCCGCGAATTCCAGTTCCCGTGGGAATTTCGGGAATTCCTTGTTGTAACTAAGCTTTAAGTTTACTAAGGTACCTGCATGCCAAATTTCAAGAGTATATCTTACGCGGTTTAGATTTTTTCATACAAATGTTTTTTCCCACTAACTCCCGTTCCCATGGGAATTTTGCAATATCCTGTTGTAACTAAGCTTTAAGTTTACTAAGGTACCTGCATGCCAAATTTCAAGCGTCTAACTTAAGCGGTTTAGATTTGTCATACAAAAGGATTTTCCCGCTAATTCCCGATCCCGTGGGAATTCCTAAGTATCCTATAACCTGCCCAGGAGTATGAAGAATAATTGTACCAAGTTTCGTTAAAATCCGTCAAGTNCCAATAAGAGGAAGTATCAATTAAATCATTAACACTAGAGTACACGCGTGGACTACTATAGTAGACCAGGGTAACATTTTACGCTATAACTTTTTGAAAACTTGCGCCAGAGAGCTGGCATTCCAGGAAAGCCTCGTTTACTAAATTTGTCAGTAAGCCAGTAAAGCTTGGGTCGCTAGAGTCTGCGCACTTTTCTAAAATTGGCCGTCAAAAATACGGGTCTACTCAAAAGCCCGAAATCACTCGACAAAAAAATTATGAAAGACTTGTAACAAATGAATTTACACCGTGTACCAGGCAGTAGAAAGTCATGAATACTATGACAGATAAAAAACTAATCATATTTTATCAGTCAAATTGTTTTTGTTAACATTGGTCTCAGAGTGCAATTTTGGTCCAAAAAATTTACAACTTTTAAATCTGTTTATAATGTTTGATCCCAAATAGTTATATAAAGAAACTTTGATTATAAAATAACTATAATAAACACTTTTATCATTAACATAGTAATTCTATTCATAATTTGCTTATAAACTGATTTACAGTGATTTTAAATTGGCTTACCAGAGTAGGCCGCGCGTGTATTCGTGTAAAAAAAGGGGCGCGTGTACTGCAGTGTTAAGTCTGTTGAGTTTGCTATATTTATGATGGTCAGCAAATTGAAGTACACGGAAAAGATACTTGTCACATAAATATTGGCGGCGTAATTTCACTGGGGGCTCAACACATTCAGCTTGCAAGGCATTAATTGGACTCGATTTCATAGCACCAGCTATAATCAGGGCCGGATTAACCATCTCGGGGCCCCTAGGCACAGCTCGTTTCGGGCCCCCCTTTTTTTGTCGCGGAGGAAATGCTTTGCGCACCGTCACCACTGCCGGGGGACAGGGTGGTGTGTGGGACTCCCGGCGCCCTAAAAAGATCGCTGCTCCGTCCTGAAAAGGACGAGGTATACCCACTAAAACCTCCGCGGCGTTCCGTCATCGCCAAAGTGGGGGTGTCGCGAGTATCCGGCCGTAGCCTTAGACTTCCGCGACACCACCGGCGACAGTTCGCCTACACGGCGGACCCTACACGCCCCCCTTGTGGGGGTCTGACGGGAATGGCCCGAAACGCCAAGCCGTTCCCGACAGACGGAGGTGACAAGAGTGCCCCCGCACCCCCGGCCTGCTGGCCGCCACCTGGGGGCAGAGTAGAACGGTCGTACAACCGCCTTCTCCACCCTCTTCTCCGCCTGCGGAGCGATGAGGCGAGAGGATCGTTCTCCCGCTCGCGCTCCGCTGCCTCCTTCTGAAGGATGACCTCTTCGCAAAAGGAGGCGACCACCTTCCAGCATCCTTCACTTCCCAGAATGGCGTTGACCAGGCTCGGAAGTGAAAGATTCCGGCCCACGACCAGTGAGGACACGGCGCTGCTCCTCCCAGCCTGTGCAGACCGCGAGGGTGTGCTGCACCGTGTCATCCGCCGCGCCGCATTTGTGGCACAGCGGGGATTCCTCTCGCCTGATTCTATGCAGGTACAAACCGAAGCAGCCATGCCCGGTCAGCACCTACGCCAGACGGAACGTGAGGAACCCGTGCGGTCGTTCCAACCATTGGTCCAGAACAGGACCAATGGCGTCCAGAGTGCGGCGGCCAAACTGCGCGCGAGTCATGTCTTCCTTCCAGCGGTCGATCATGATCTCGCGCTCTTCCTGCCTGACGGCGCCGCCCCGGTCCGGGACCGGGCGCTTTCCACGCGCCTTCTGGTCTGCCATCCAAGTGATAGATGACAGACAAGCTTCTAGCTCCCAAGGAGGAGTACCAGCGAGGACGCATGCCGCAGCGTGCCCTACCGTGCGGTAGGTCCTTCCGACCCTCTGCGCTATGGCCCGCTGGGGTCTGCGCAGAAGGGCAGCTTTCTCCCTCTTGTTGAGTGCGTCCGCCCAGATTGGGGCGCCATACAGCGCCATGCTCCTCAGAACGCCGGCATAAAGTCGACTACACCTCGTTTGTGGCCCTCCCAAATTCGGGAGGAGCCAACTCAGTGCGCCGGCTGCTTTGAGGAGGCCACCTCCCGTCAAGCGTGAGGCCCAGATATTTCATCTGGCCTTTGACGTCAATCCTAACGTCCTCAACCACAATGTGGGCGTCGGAAGGGGCGCGCTGGCGAGGCCCCGGAAAGAAGAGGGCCTCAGTCTTCTCCAGCGCGACTTTCAGGCCGAGGCGTCGTATTCTGCGAGCGACTAATGTGCCGCCCGCCGATGCCAGCCGTGCCGCGGCCCCAAATGTCTTCCCCGGGTAGTGACCAGAGAGTCATCCGCATAGCATATTATGACACTCATGCCCGCGAGAAGGACGCCCCGGAGGAGCCAGTTGAAGCCTAGGTTACACAAGAGTGGACCGAGCACCGAACCCTGCGGAACCCCGCTGGCTACGCCGCGCCGTTTGAGCTGGCCGTCTCTATTAACATACAGGACTTCGCGGTCCCGTAAGTAATCGGCCAGCAGCGCTTAAAGGTACTGAGGCACTCTGTGATGTTGAAGTGCCTAGATCGAATGATACTGCCAACACACCCTCACCCCTCTCCCTAGCCTCCGCAGTGAGGCTTTTTAGCCTCTAAAGGGCATCGACCGTCGACCTGTCATGTAAACCAAAGCAGTAATGCCAACGTTCTACCGTCCCCCAGCAACGCCCTAGGCCGAGGTCCGAGCCCCACTCGGGGGCGCCCTTAGGCTCGTTGCTTAAATTTTGAGGTTGAGAGCCATCTGCGCTCACCTATTGTCCGGTGAAGCTGAAAAAGCCGCTCACGGCTATCAGCATAGTCCGTCCGAAAAAAAAAAAAAAAACCAACGTTACGAAAATGAATTAGGTTCCACAATATCGAAATATGACGATTGAATATGTAACCCAAAATAAGGCGAAGTTTTGAGGTGGTTTGAGTTTTGTTGCATAAAAATAATCTTAAACTTTTTTTTTTTTCATTTTTTAATCGGGAGTGCTGGGCCCCTGGTCATAGTGGGCCCCTAGGCACTGGCCTAAAGTGCCTTATGGATAATACGGCACTNTGAATGAACTATAATAATTGCTTTTGCATTTGAAATAGTATGATTTTATACACCTACGAGTACATCATAAAATATTCATAAGACACGATAATTCTATTAAACATTAATGGTACCTAGTACCTAGCCCCTACATAAAAATTTACTATAAAAAAGTGGTCTACATAAAATTTATTGTTATATGGTCTTATGCAGTCACTTAGGGTTTGATGGGTTAAGAGCTGTATGTTTTTATTATCATGACAAATGTAAGGCTTAGTACAAACCGAGTCAATTTTAAAATATAAAAAATGTATGCTATTCTAAATACAAAGCTTGTCCAGTTGAAATTGAGCAGTTTTTAAAGGGGATTGTAAATACATACTTCTCAGTGCGGGCAGCGCAGGACCGTGCATTGTGGAAAGCCTTGGAGGAGGCCTTTGTCCAGCAGTGGACGTTATTTGGCTGAAACGAACGAACGAACGAACTTCTCAGTATAATTCCCATCCCATGTACCTACACTAATTGTTTATGTCAATTGCAACGTAAAGCACAAACATTAGTTAACTTGCATCATCAATTTACAAGTTTACACGTGGTGTAGGCTGTGCTTGCACATCACACAATCAACTGCAATGGATATAATATTTTATTCTAATAGAATCCCATTCCCATATCATGATTCTTCCATCCCATCTTACTCACAAATGAAAACCATTCATTACAACTATGAACTCTAGGAAGAAACCCTGTTATGATATTTTCTGTCACACGCCATTAACTTCTGCCCGTTAACTTTAGAAATGGCGGGAACACGGAGTCGAGTTTCTTCAGCTGGCGACTACGGACATCTTCGAGACGCCAGACCAGGAAAAACTGTACGAAGGAGTCAAGTTTATCAATAGGTAATCTCTAATACACATTTACTCATTATCATCTGAGCCCCGATTACGGTAACTTTTAACGTCTCCAATCCAGACACGCTTCTCGATTATGCGATACGATTGGTCGTTCAACAGTGTACGTCAGCTGTTTTGACCAATCGTATCGCAGAATCGATGAAACGCGTCTGGATTGAAAACGTTAAAAGTTACCGTAATCGGGGCTCTGGTCATTTAAGTCTTAACTGCAGTAGGACGAAGAAAGTAAGCCTTCTAATTTACCAGAGGCAATGGAGGATGTTTGATGTTTCCCTGTGGTTGCCTTTTACGACATTCCCACAGGTGGTACCTGGGCACTTAAGGATCAATGGTGGCCCTTATCATTTGGAAAAAGGTCTTTTGAGCAGATGGGGGACACCTCGGTCGCGGGGCCCTAGGCATGTGCTCAAAGTGCCCAGTGGGTAAAAGGGTCCTCCTGCCCATACTATAGAGTACCTTAATAGTAACAGAAGGATCAATGGCAATGATAATTGTAGTGTTTGTGTAGTGTTTGTATCTACGTACTAGATAGATACAATACGCTGTCTCACGTACTCAAGTGATAGTCAGTCACGTGACGTCGTTACGAGTGGGACGAGTCAGTCGTACGGCAGACGCCGGCGAGTACGGACGTGCCGCAGTGAGACGCTTGGTGTGACGGTGAGCCAGTGTGCACATTTAGGTACACTACAATAATGTTGATGTGCCTGTTTTGGTTCTTCTATTCAGCAGAATTCAATAGATTATACAGTTCAACTCTCGTATCAGGTTCCTCCCGGTTGGCGCGAAGTTAACCGGCGTGTCGACTGAGGCGGCGCAAGTGAACAGCGGCAGCGTGTACGTGCACTGCAAGGCGGGCCGCACGCGCAGCGCCACGCTAGTCGGCTGCTACCTTATGCTGGTGAGAAGATCATGCATGCACGATTGCTGTTATGGCGGAAAACCTGTTGTATTTTCAGTAGTGCAAATCAAATCAAAATTATCTTTATTTGTTTAGACTAATTAAATTAGTACTTGCAAATCGTCAAATGCTCTTAAGGAGCCTATACATGTCTCATTCTTTTTTTGCCACTTTTTTTGACACATAGTTCGTCGTGAGTTCGTTTTAACCAAAGGACCGCTAGACAAAGGCTTCCCTCAAAGATTTTAGCAACAACCGGTCCTGCGCTGGATGGATGCGAGATTCAAGTGTTTCCTGCAACCTTTACCCGATCGTCGGTCCACCGAGTGGAAGACATGCCGATTGCATCATCCGACCCGTGGTCGCTACTCAACAACTGCCCCAATGACCTAAGATTTCTACGAGCTTTATACCCCGCCCACTGCCTCTCACGAGGTTTGACAACTCTGTGGGCTGTGAAGGTTATTTAATAATAGTCATAATCCATGATAAGTTATCGAAAAATCTTTATTCTAACTAGGTAATTTTATCCGCAGAAAAACGGGTGGTCTCCGAAAGAAGCGGTTGAATACATGCGCGAGCGCAGACCACACATCTTGCTGCACACCAAGCAGTGGGAGGCGCTTAGTATATTCCACTCGCGGCACGTCAAGCCCTAGCCTTACGGTAGGCCGCGGTCTGAATGCCAGCGGGACAGTTTATTGCTGAATTTTATAAACGTAAGATTTTTATCGATACTTATGACAAATGTGTGCCACATTCCTATTCCATTCATTGTTACTTTCTTCCATATTGTATGAAATCTGAATTTGACAAACATGAGCTTTTTATCGATAGGACAAAATGTGCCTAGCCTTACGGTAGACCGCGGTCAGAATGCCAGCGGAGCAAAGTTCATTGCTAAATTTTATAAACGTAACATTTTTATCGGTACTTATGACAAATGTGGCACACATCCCTATTCCATTCTTTGTTACTTTCCTTAATGTATGAAATCTGAATTTGACAAACGTGAGCTTTTTATCGATACGCAAATGTGGCACACAACCCTATTCCATCCATATTTCCTCTTGTAATATACAAAACAAAGTAATTTTCAATATTTTCAGTTTTTTTTTAATTGAAATAATGTTATGTAAGTAAGGTTGACTTTGCTTTGTTCTTTATTTGTTGTTGCGTTGAGTATTGATGACGTGTCATAAATATTGTTATCGATGAACTAATTCTTTATGGAATGCTTGTTTGTCCCTTTGGCATTCAAACTGTAACATAGTATTTTAATTAAGTAGGCGACGAATCTACCAAATACAATACAGGTCGTGGATATCTTGTCACTCCAAAACGTGCTCTACTAGTTTAACATTAAGGACTGCGTTTTTATTTCAAAGTGCAAATGCATTTGTAGTGCCTGAGGGTGTATATTTTTATTATTGTAATAAGATCAGTGGTCCCTTCTTTATCACAGCAGATGCCGATGTAAAGACGAAAGCACATCAGAATTTACAGTTTTTTTATCCAGTTTTATTGCGAAATGGCCTTTATTACAACTATAATAAGATGCCAGTGTTTATCTTGACCGTACCGTCGTCTCTACATGAGTGTAATCTACAACCCAATCGAATTAACTGCGCACTTGGCAGTCGTGACGTCACATCGACGCTCTGTTACGGAGCGAACTCGGTGAAGTGTGCGGGTAAGTGCGAGAGAGTCGCATTCCAGCGAGGTACGCTTTTAACTCGATGGGGTGATAATGTGATATACAGGGTGGAATTTTGTAATGCCACCTGGAGGGAAAGTACTCTTAATACTATAGATAGAAAATTTTACTCAAAGAAAACATTCCTTTATTTTTGAAAAGAAATAGAACAGCATTCAAAGATTTCCAAAAATTTGCATGCCACACCCGGGAATCGAACCAACTAAAATTTGTTAAAAATTACACCCTGTATTTTTATTGCATCGATCGTTAGGGTTAAGTTTATGGATGAAATCTCTCTAGTTAAACTTGATAAATTAAATGAAAGGAAAACCATGAATCTTAAATTATTTTAATTATTTACAGAAAATTGTATGGTATTGTAATGAATTTTCGAAAAATTTTCAAAAATCTTTGAATGCAGTTCTCTTTGTTTAAAAAAATAAAGGAATGTTTTCTTTGAGTAAAATTTTCTATCTACAGTATTATGAGAACATTCCCTCTAGTAGGTGGCATTACAAAATTCCACCCTGTAGATTGTTTCATCCATGAAGACGCGCCCCACCAAATTTTGGTCGAGGGAAGCGCGGGGTGCGGGGAGTTTGATCCGAGCAATCCGAGCGGCATTATTGTAGTGTACGTGTGCGCTCATGGATAATTTAGCGTGTACCGATAACACTCAAACATTAGCGGAAGAATGGTGGGGCGCGTCTTCGTGGATGAAACGATGTATACTAAGAACTACGCAGTCGATATTGTTACAAAAATGTGTAGTCAGACACCATCTGATAAAGAATTTCATAGTAATCTTGTTATGTGTAAAGGTTACTTTGAAAATGAATTCTAAAAATAGGTATTTTAGTAATCTGTTGGTTTACTTACAATCACATTACCGGTTTTATATTACCGATAGTAAAATATTTTATTTCAAGTGATTGTTATGAATTTTTATCGTAATATTTAACGATTATTTAAACGAAGTCATGCACAAACACAAAAGTCTGGTTGTATAGAAATATGATGTTTTAGTTTTTATTCACGAATATTATGGAGTAGGTAGGTAAATTATTTAGATATATTTCTATTTGTTATGAATTTATTGAATAAACAACTAATTTATAATCAGATATAAATACAATTTGTTTTTTAATCATCGTTTTTCCTTATACCTCTATTATTAAAGTTTACATAGGTATACCTTATTGTTAGGTATTCATTTAATATCATTATCTTTAGTTTTGGGACCAGAGATATTTGATTACTAAGATTGGTTTTTGAATTTCAGTATGCATTAAGACAAATCACAGGAAAGTACTTGGGTTTTCGACATCTTTTCGAGTTATAATTCGGGCCAAAGATTTGTGTTAATATGTATGAGCTGTTGTCCCAAATAGTATTGTATTTTATTGTATGTAAGTGTGACAAACACGCATTATAATAGCTATCGCCGATCGCCGATTCCACGATAAACTTAGAACTTTGAGGAGCTATTTGTGTGATGGTTATTGTGTGTTATCCTCGTCTTATCTCTGGTTAGCCCATTGAAAGGATGAATGGGTCGTGTGTTTTGTTCCAATTAAGTAAGTAGGTTGAGCCACAGAATAATAATAAGTACTACGTACAGAAGTTTTTCTTCGCGAAGGTATTCAAAAAAATGTATGCTCAATGTCATCAACAATATGGTGTAATTTAGCTTGTCTTAAGAGTCGAGCACCGTTTTGTTGACATACGTCAGTGATCGGTACTGTCTTGATGCCATAGGGCTGACTGCTACAAGAAGCTACTGTGTCGCCATCTAGCGCACCACACTTGCATTCACTGCTCTTCGCGGCAACGCGCAGCTACATGCGGCCGCCAGTTATATAGTGTAAGAGCTAGCACCTAAATATTTTATAACACACATAACTGTGACAATTTATTTCACGTGGGCGAAGCCAAAAAGCTAGTAAGAAATAAAAATTCAATTCAGTAGGTATTTCAAACCAAATTTTATTACATAAACAAACATTATACTAATTTCATTATGGGCCCTTAGTATGTGAAAACTGCAATTGACGATATTTCGCACTGTTTTCAATATTATGTATTACAGAACGTATGTGTGATGGGATGATATTTTCGAAAACACGATTAGAAAAAATTTTTCTCGAAAAAAAACATTTACCTCTGGATTTTTTTATGACCGTGTTTTACAATAAAATTCCAATAAAATCACAAAGGTATCATGTTTGCCTCTTTGATTTCCTGGCTGTTTTAGATTTCAGAAAACTCTCATAATAATCTCATTAGTAAGTACTCACTTCAGTCGCTATTTAAGAGGAGATTACTCTTGGATCAAATGATATTATACAATATTTGCCACCATAAATTTGATTGTACTGGNATTTGAGTGTAAATGAGAAGTACCCGTATATAACTGCACTAAGCCCACTTAAATAATTGGTAATACGGTTGTTTCCTGACTTTTGTCCTAGAACTTGTCAATTTTAACTTACCAAACTCAAAATTTGCATGGAATTTATTGTCATAAACTTAAAATTAGTCAAATAATTTCTTCAAACGTGTATAAAATAAAAAAAAAATGTCGAAAACCTAAATATATTAATTTATTATATTTCTGATAAAAATGTGAATGGCTCTTACGATGTCCCCCCCTTAAATCAAAATGTCTTTATTTGGTCTATATGCCCATCATCACTACGTAATAATTATAAAAAAAAGTCGCTTTCCTGTCTGTCTGTCCCTATGTATGCTTAGATCTTTAAAACTATGCAACAGATTTTGATACGGTATTTAGGGTTCCGTAGCCAAATGGCAAAAACGGAACCCTTATAGATTCGTCATATAGTCTGTCTGAACATAGAACGTTCTTGTGCACTTTTTAAAATGAGTTAACCAAGTATATGGCTATTAGACTTGCACACGTCCGTCCGTTTTTTGTAGGATTAATATAATTAAGTAACATTTATTTTTTGCATTCGGCTCTTGGTCTAACCCAAACGAAACACAAACAACTAATGAACTAACAATGAACAAAGTTGATAAATTAGTAATATGTAAATAATGAATTTGTTTTACGAGCTGTCCCGGCGTACTTCGTACCGCAAATTAATATAAAGTTGTTTAAGTGATTTATAAAATCGCAATATTAATTTTTGAAAGTAGGGTCATTGTGCTGGTTTTCTATCTAACTTCGGTTTTCGTCCATTTCACTGAGCTTTATTTGATAATTCAACCTTAGTACTAACAAATTTCATAAAAGAGAACAACATTTTGTGTACGTGCTCGTGTACAGCCAAACTTTTGAACGTTTTGATATCATATATTAATATAATTTGGCATAATGAGTTTGGAATGTTTCTTGCATAATATTACTTTTCCATGATGCCTATAACATAATGTTTTGATTTAAAGTGAAAAATAAGTTAAGGTGCGGCGGGGGTGGCCCTTGGGCCACCCCTAAGCCGCCTATTTAGTTTTATACACACATAAATGACCTCATATTAATCACATTTACCAAATCATGCGGTGATTATTCATAATAACCGGCGATTATTCATAATTTTCACATTTATCACTTTGACCGTAACATAAACACAATTTTAAGTGTTTATTAAACTTCTTCATACAAAATTAAATCTTAGATGACTAAGGGTCATTTTTTTAAAGCATAGCTCAGGTCATATAGCAGGCAAATCAACTCGGAAAGGGATCAACAACGTATCGCCTTTTGTGGCATGGAGGTAATAGTGGAGAGGAAATATAGATCTATACAAAAATTGAACAAATTAATGACAAACAGCTGTTTATCTCTTTCTAACTTACCCCTGGTGATGTATAAAAAAAGAAATAGATAATGTTTGGTCAGTACTCATTCTGGCAACATTTTCATGTGACGTCACTAACTACCTGACTTGTGCCGAGTAGGTACCTACATACAAGATTTAAGAAAACAACATATTTATAGGCAATCAGCTGACAACCACACACACACACACACACACAAATACCTGTCAGCTGATTGCCTATATTGCGGCCATGTTGTTTTCTTAAATCGTGTATGTATTTATAATGCGTGTAAATGTGTGCGTAATGTACCGAGTACGTTTATTTTAAAGTTACGCCAAGTCCATGAGACATTGATATACGTCAGTGTTTTGCGAGCTGTCATTGCCCTTCGCGCACTGTCATCGGCGAGGCAAGGCGTTTACGTTACGGTGCGGATTGTGTGTGCGTTGTAGTATGGACTTTAGTTGACTGCCTTTATGAGTACTCGAACGACATAAAATAATATGATACATTTATGTAAGGGTATTTTAAGATCACAAAGTTGGCAACTCCGATAGTTGGACGAAAACCAGCGCAAAGACCCTATCCTGT